TTTGATTACAATTTTTGTTATAAAAAAAATGAAAACAGAAACAGAAAACTCGTTTGAATGAGTCAATGTACGGAAAAAAAAAAAAACTAACAAAAGATATCAGAGGCAGAAGGTAGTCTCAAATAAGAGTCACCTCTCAAAGTTTCAGAAAATTTTTTGTGTCTACAATCCGGTGCACAGGTAATAGAATGGTTCGCATAATAAAGTCTTTTTTTTTTTTTAAAACAAAATCTACATTTTATTTCATAGAAAAAAATTACAGTGTAGGAAATGGCAAACATAAACTGCCATTACAGCAACACTCATACAAATCTTACAAAAAATCAAAGAATACATGTCCTTTTACGAAAAAACTTCACTCCTTGTTGATCTTGCAACCAAATCAGCTTAATAGGAGAAGGGACCCTCAAATCCTGAGTAAAATCAGTAGAAACCCTATCTTTAACAGCCTGATTTGCAAGGAAATTAGCCATCTGGTTCTCCCCTCTAAACACATGAGCCATACTAAAATTCAAACCCCCCCCAATCTGTCCATAATTTCATTGAACAAGGCCCAAAAATTCCATGCTCTCTCATATGCCCCTCAATACCATCCACACAAAAACCAAATCTAATAATTTTTTTAAAAAAAATCAGATCTACCACAAAAAAAAAAATCAGATCTAACATAAAGAAACAACCTACAGATCTAATACATAAATGTAGCACAAAAAAAAACCTAGATCTAAGGAATCTAGCTACTGCGAGAAATCCAGAGATATCCAAAAAATAAGAAAAAAAATTCTAAAAACCCTAGATCTAAGGACTTATCTTGGTGAGAGATCTTCAGACGAGAGAGACAAAGTTGGACCTGCTCTACTAGAACTCCTCTGCTGGACAAAGCTGCTGTTATGAACACTAGACAAAGCTACTGGTGTGAAAGAAGGGACTGGGAGAGACGATGAGATGCTGTGAACGAAGGGACTGAGAGAGACGATAAGATGAGAGAGAGTTTGAGGGTTTATGTTATAAACAAAACCTCAAGCAAAATAATAACGCAACAAAATAGAAAAATAGAACACAAAGATTTACGTGGTTCGGCTCAACAAGCAAGCCTACATCTACGAACGAAACACAACGTCAAAATTTCACTATTGAAAGGTTGGAGATTACAACGTTCTCAGAACAAATCAAAGAGAAAACTAGATATCTGCTATATTCCAATAATAAAATATTTATTAGATTTAACAAAATAGAGCAATATCAATTTATCACACACAAAGAAAACTCTTGTACCATCGTTAATGGCCAACCCCCAACTCACTGGAGAATACGTCTTTTTTATTTAGCTTCTGGACTAAGGAATTTGATTCCTTCACAAAGTCTTTATGCTAAGGAGGTCTCACGTGTAGGACAAAAAACCAAAAACTCCTTGAAGGCTTTGAGTTTAAACAACAAAAGTCCATGTTGGACTAAACTCCACTAAAATAATAAAACCAAGATAATCCTAATTAATGTTAAACTTGTCTATCAAGGACTTCAATGAAAACTCATCTCTTCAATTAGAGTCCATATAAAAGAAAACAATTGATTTGAATACAAGTCATCACAACAGTTTAAATATTTTTGTTGGTTGGTTTTTTGGTAGAGTGATTAGTTTGTTGCTAACAAGACTCGATGGTAGTACCTCATTAAACGCCTTCCGCCCATTTTCGTTTTGTTTTTTTTTTTGGAAATGACTTTTTTCGTTTCCAAAATCTGAGGCAATTTTGAAAAAGGTTTCAATTAAAAAAAAAACTAAAATGGTTACCAAACGAGTTTAAATTTCAAGTTTTCTAAAAAATTGAAAACAAAAATGAAAAAATTGAAAACCGAACTGTTACCTAATGGACCCTAAAAAAGTATAGAAAAAAGAGTTGGGTTTTGGGTTGTGAGGAATGATTTGAGTTTTAGTTTTGATTTTGATTTATGAATTTTGATGTGGGTATGCTATTAGTATAGATTTTCATATGAAAATATGATTATGTTTGATAGTGGGTGTTTAGGAATTGTGAGGTTGAAAGAAAAGGAAGGAGATGGAACTAAAATAAGTTTCTGGTAGATTTCTACCAGTAGAAAGTGAAAACCTACCGGTAGGACTATGTTATGTTAAGACTTCTACTAGTGGGAAGGAGTGACCCACCGATAGAATAACATTATGTGAGATGTTCTACTTGTAGGGAGTGAATACCTACTGATAGGATGCGATTCTATCAAACTTCTACTAGTAGGAAGTGGTGACCTACCGGTAGAACAATGTTTTGTGAGGTGTTCTACTAGAAGAACTTCTATTGATCTACTGGTAGAAATATGAATCTTCACAATTATTGTCGTACTATCTATAATTCATTGTTCACTCAACCTCAAGCCTTCTTTAATCATTTTAATGGGTTTGAATCAATTATAATTGACTTTATTTATCTATCAACACCTCACTAAACCTAATTGTTCGATATGTTATAGTAAATGAAAAGGGGTATTAAGAAGGTATTGAGTTAAGCTCAATTAGTCACCCATGCATTTGTAACATAATATTATATATTTGTGAATGAAATTTATGTGGTATGTGGGGATGTATGTTAGATAAGAAGACGACGACACCAATGTCAGATTCACCTAAGACCGAATAACGGGGTTGAGTTTGGGTTGAAATTTAACCTAAGGTGAGTGTGCTTTTTCATGTGACAAGTAATAGCTAAAATATGCCTATGTGTTAACTACGTATGAGCATGATGTTTATTGATTTAAAAATAGTATGTGGCTCTAAGGTAGTGAATTTAGTTGCTATGACTAATACCAATTATTGGTATAAAAAATGTGGCAAGTTATTGATTGTCAATGATTATGTGAAGACTTCAAGCCTTATTGACGTGTGAAAAGCCTATTAACTAATATAGCCCATGAAGGGCAATTGATTCGCCTTAGTGGCATTATTGTGTCTTAGTGACGAATTATGTCATATTTTATAAACGTTTAGACATGTAAATTTGTATAGTTGTTAGATGTCAAGTTAAAGTATTTGATAAAGAGTTGAATAGGATTTTTATGTAAATGTATGAATTTAACTTTGTGTATATAAGCTATGTAAGTATATGAATATGCGGATCATGTGTTATGGGATATTTAATATCATGCACAGTGTGATAGGTTATCGATTAATAAATGAGATCCACTCTCCTAGAATAGACTATATATGTAATTATCCGAGGTAGGGTGTGACAGAAATACTTAGCCTTTAGTACCTTACCCCAAAGAGTTTGGGTCTTGGGATAACCTCAATGCCTGTTTAGTTAGCATTGCTCTATTAAACTTTTCAATCTCTCTACACCCCATACCCTCATCCCATTTCCTCTTTGTGAAGTGCTCCCATTTCCTCTAATATATTCTGCTTTCTCTTGAACTTTTGCTCCACCAAAACGTAGATATGCACTTAGTTATACTTTGGTTTAACGAAATTGGAAGTTTAAAGATTCTCGTTGCATCCGTTGGAATTACCTATACTATTGCCTTTATTAGAGTTCCTCTGTTTGCATGGTTTAGGAACCTTTTTTTCTGGCCTGCTACTTTTGTTTGGACTCTTTCCTTTATCCAGGACTGTTGTTCTGGGAGAGAAACTCAATCTAACTCTTTTTTTACGGTTATATACGTCGAGACTAAGACACTTAACCTAAAAGGTAGAAGTGAATAAATTTTTTTATTTTATCCCAAATCAATTACAAATTAAAACCTATATCTGTTATAATTACTTATTCTCACAAATATATAACAAGGAATGTGAGAACCCCTTTAATCATCAACAACCCTTAACACCTACGATGATTGATTAAATTAATATGCAATTAATTTGCTCAAATCAATTTCACGGTAATCCCAAATTCAATTTGCATAATTATGGATGATATGATATCAAGCAATCAAAACATCAAAAACATAGGACTCGTTTGGTAAACGTATTATGAGGAGATTAAATATTTAATTGTATTATTTTTTATTTAATCGGGTCTAATACTTTGTTTGATAAGTAAATTTGATACCGTATTAATTTTAAAAATATATAATAATCGTATACTTATCGTATATTTTTTATACGTTAAACCTATATTATTGAGGTACTTTAATACCATTAAAAGGTGTGGTATTATAATTCTACTCAAACATATTATTTTACACATTTACCATTATTATCCTCTAATTAATAAAATCAAACTGTCATCAATATAACAAACATTAATTAAAGGTATTTTTTGTTAACTCAACATTAATACGATAAAATAATTATTTAACCAAATAATCGATTGTATTAAATAATTATTATCCAACGTTTATTTTGTGTATTACCAAACACTAGATAAAATTACGTATTATTCTAATACCATATTTAGTCTTATTTTTTATTCTTTTGTATTGTATTAGACTTGATTATTTTATTTAATTTATTAATTTTTAATATGACAACTAAACGAGCTCATAACACACATATGTGCTCACAATTATAAGTGTGGATAATAAACAAAAAGAGATACAAGTAATTTAGTGATGCGAAACCCCATCCCCCGAATTTTTGAAATATCGCTTGAAATACAAGATTTAGCAAACAAATTTAAGCACAACAGTTTATCCCAAAAAAAAAAAAAATGAAAATAGCGCACCAAAGTGCGGTCACGCCGCATAGGCAAATGGGCTTTGAAGGTATCCCACCTTCCTTTCTCTAGTCCCTTGCTTCTCTCTCTCTATTGCTTCTGCGGCATAATAACTAGTTTTCTTCATTTTCTACGCCTCTAATCATTGGAAACCAATTCAGAATCTTCCTAAAATCTTCTCAAAATCTTCCATGTGGTTTGATTTGCTAACTTACTCGCTACATCTCCCAGCCTATCTCTCTATCTACGCATCCATGCCTCTGTACTTGTAGGTTTTCTTGGCTAATTTTTCTCCCCCTCCAACTCCTCATTCCTCTCTCTGGGTCCCCCCTTTTGAAAACCATGAGCGGCGGTTCTAGGGTTTCGATTCCGAACAATCTTCGGAAGATGATCCTGGACATCAAAGAGATCACAGGGAAGCATAGCGATGAAGATATTTACGCAGTGCTCCAAGAGTGCGATATGGATCCGAATGAAACCGCTCAAAAGCTTCTGTATCTCGGTATACTCGCTTTCTCTTTCACTGTAGACATTGATGTTCGGATATTATACGATGCTATGATCTGCAGCCTTGCTGGATTGTGTTCTGATTGTTTGATGAGAAAGCTAATGGCAGAAAAAAGAGAAAGTAAATCATAATCCTTGATTTTTATGTACTTTTTCCCCCTGAAACATGATAAACCCAACAAAAAAAATGAGGCTTTCATGTGTTTGCATTAGGCCCAATTGGGTGTGAGGGCTTTTATTACTGTGCTCTCGGATTTTTTTTTCTTATATTCTTTTTCAAATTTTGGGTACTTATTTAATTTTTCAACCCCATTTTTCTTTCCTTCATAGAGAGCTGTATTGTTTTTGATTGACTTGGTTTTGATGGGCTTTCAGTGGCAATGTAGTTCACTAATAATGATTTGTTGTAGCAGCACTAATGATTTCTTTTGATTGCGCGTTTGTGAATTATTTTTTCGTTGGTGGTTTCAAAGAGAGAAGAGGGGGGGGGGTGTTTCGTTCTGATATCATGATTTTTCTTGCCTATAGTACGAAAATTTCTCATGTCACTCATAGAAATGGGAATAGGATTTATTAGGTTCGAACTTTTTTCATATCCCACAAAGATAACATGTGTACTTGGCTTTGCAGATACATTTCATGAGGTTAGAAGGAAGCGGGATCGGAGAAAAGTGGTTAGCATCAACGTCTCTTTGTTTATGTCCCCGTCTCTTTCTTTTGTATTGTTGAAAATTGATAATTATCCAAAACTTATGATTTTAGTGGGGGCTTTAAGTACTCCACTTTTGTTTGTATTAAGCTTTAAAAAACAAGTTTTGGATTTGAATTTGAATTTGAAACGCTGTGGTTCAGGTTGTTGTTTAAGTGCCATTGTTTGGTTCAATGCCACACATTGTCAGTACATCTCTATTATTGTGAACTTGTGAACCAAATAAGGTCAGTCCGATGGATTAGGTTTATTGGGGAATCTGAATTTAATATCTGATGAAAGGGGTTTGCACTTTCTTTTTGAGTTAGAGATTATATGTATCCATCATTTTTGGCTATGCTGTAGTGCTGTGTAGTTTCGAAGTAAATTTATTGTCCCTGTTGCTGCAAAGTGACATAAATTTAAGCTGCTTTCTGTAAGCTGTTTTAATTATTTAAATAGGTTCATTTGTTCTTGTTGCTTGGTATATATCTGCATTTTGAATTATATGGTAAGATCAATGCCAGACAACATTTTGAGATATAGGGTATCTGACATGCCAAGTACCCTGACATAGCAATATACTTACCAGTAGAAACTCTCCCTCTCCCAAAATTTTTCCAAGAGAACCACATAGACCCTAGTTAGGAGGGGGCAAAAGAACGGTCTTCTTTCATTAACAAAAAAAATGCTTGTTCAAATGCACAGGAGGTATGCAAATTTGTAAGTTGTATACAACTTGTTGATAGATGAGAGTATGATTTCTCCTGCACGTATATCATAACTAAAAGTAAATTCTATACTATGCTGAGACCAGATATACCTCAACATGTACATGTAGATTGTATGGTCTTTGCATTGAGCTAGTTCTCTTGAATCACAATTAGGTGAGTGGAGGATGTCTTTTTATTGCATCCATTACTATTTTGTTTGTCAGTAATTCTTGTATTGAGTGAAATTCATGCAAGTAACTTATGGTTGAGCATCCATGTTCTAGTCTCAACACGGTCCTCTTGGAAATGTACAGTTGAGCAAATTCTTGCCTTTGTATTTTGCTTGCTTGACCATTAAATGGTTACATCAAATATTGTATTGCAGAATGTGATCAGCAAAGCCTCTGAAGAATCTAGGTTCTCAGCAGGCATGCCATGGCGTGGTGCTAGGGGTGTTCGAGGGAACTATTCATCACCTAACGTTTCTGGCGGTATGTTTTCAATCTTAATCTAAAGCTTCAAATTCTCCGTTGGCTAATTAGGAATGATATTTTTTTCTTCTCTTTTGTTATGTTCGAATCTGAGATATTAATATCGTTGTCTTCGTGGAGTTGAGTGAATTGAGAAGTGGCTTGGGTTATCTTCACTTTTGGCTGGAGCCTGTTGATTGACAAGGAGTTAAAAGATCCAGACTTGAGCTCCACTTTTAAAAATTAATTTGGTGAGGTTCAAAGTTTGAAGTACTTCGACATCTTCACAAAAATGCTTACTTTAGTGGCACTAAGCAAAGTGCTGATAGAAACCAATGTGCTTGGGGCTTATCAAGCATTTCAGAATTATTTGTTGATTTTTGAGAAGTTGTTTACTGTGTCTTGAAGTGGAAACATATGCACTTAGAAACTTATAACAAAAATAGCTATTAAAATTAGGTCTGTTGTCTAGGGCTCGATATTGGTACTAGTACATATCGATCAAAGTCAAATTGTGGTCCGGCCTATTAGTGAAGCAACAATTGGTACCATAGTGAAGCGGCCATAAACTAGAGAGTCTTGAATTTTATGAACTGTTATTTTGCTTTGGGGTTTGAAGAATACTAAGAGCTGTCAATTACCGAATATGTGATTCAACACCATCTTCTTTGAGTAGAATTATGCTTATTTCATCTGAGAAGAAATTAGCATTTTGTTTGTTATTGTATATGTTGGACTCCAACTACTTTATTGACTACTGTTTTCAGATGCTGGTGGTGGGAGGAATGCGAACATTCAAAAGGAAAATGGAGTCACTAAACGCACAGAAAGAGGTTCTAGGTTTTCTAAGCCAGTTGTGCATAGAACAGAAAATGTTACAACAGTTTCTCTTGCAGGGTAAGTGTACATTCCGCATGTGTGCTATATATTTTGCATTTCGTTATGCTAAATCTGAGCTTTTTGAGCCCTATTGTTCATTGGTCTGCAAAAACTTATTTACGCCTGCTTCAACGGAATTTACAGTTCATCAACTGTCTCTGTTAACGGTCCAATGAGCATATCTAATGGGAGTTTGACACAAGGACCTGTGCCCGAATCGCCTACAGGTAATAGTAGAAGTGTCCTAAAAGATCTTTCTGCTGTTTGTGTTGATAAGTTTGGGATCACTGCTGGCTTTAGCAATTTTTGCCATGAAACATCCCTTAACTTCCAACCCTTGGCCCACCCATACCCATACCTTCCATTTCCTCCACCTTTGCACCTAGAGTTAGAGATGACTGACCAACTCCATCTCGATTCCAAATCACCTCTTGACTTCAATGACCTCAGCATGTGTAGGTGTCTACTTTAATGGTTCCATTCCTGTATTGGTGCTGTCTGAAATGTTCCAAAATGTGATTGAATCTACATGTGAAATAGGAAATCAACACGTTGTGACTGAATCAAGTGCCTCTCTTCTGGCTGGGAGCAGTTCAAGTACTAGTCAAGATGTTGCTAATGTTCGTCAAGCAGCATCAGGAATTGTTAGCTCCGCTGACAGAACTGGGCCAAGAGTATCTGAGGGAGTCGAAACAAATCATCTGTCTCAGTCTTCAAATGCCCCTTCAAAGGTATTTTTTTTAGCTACTGATCCAATTCTCCATCTTTTGCAGAAGATTGTGTTAACAGGCGCTATGTCTACACTTTTTTATTTTCATTCTTGGCTTTTGAAATGGGTAATCATGTTGTTATTAACTGTTCGGTCCAGGGTTGGTATTGTTATGATTTAAGAAATCTTTCTCTATGACTTGGTATGGTCTGTTATGTTACGTTTCATGTTTTTCTTTACCTAGTACGCCATGAGTGAAGACACAATACTGATCTAAGCCTTATTATTTGTATTTCTTTTTTGGTCTCCACTTTTGAAATTCTAAACTTTCAGTTATTTTGAATGGTCTTAATATGAGACCTGTAGTGTGAGTGAGTTCTTGTCAACAGTAAATTCACCATAGACTAACAATCTCCCCTGCCATTCTATATCCCTTGAAAGGTAAATTATATAGATAACATTTACGTAAAAAAAAAATCTAGATAATGGAGACACCTCAAGGTTTACATGGGTGTCCCATATGATTTCCGTACATTTTTTTAATTTTGTTTTTGTGTATTTAAGTATTTAACAACATTATGTGCTCTTATTTACTTATCTCCATTTTTATTATTAACTTAGTGTTATTTCTGTTTTTTGGTTAGCAAGAGATAGTATGAACAAGATTTTGATATGTCAATTTGGTCAGATATAACATGTGAATGTGGCCACAAACAGCTAGCTTTGGATCTTGGGATGTTGTAAATCTCACTAACCATCGCATGGGTAATGTTAGATGATAGTCAACACTCTTATCCATGTAGGCTGCAGACATGATAGATGTGATATGTTTAATTGGGAAAGTCTGGTTGACCTATCTTTGCTGTAAATGCTGTTGCTAGCCCAACCTCTTCAGTTTGCTTCTTGTATGAATGTTCCACGGCACAGAAGTTTGGCCAGTTAAAGAAACATTCCATGGGTCTTCGAATAGTTCTAAGTTGCATCAACTGAATGAGTCTGGTTTTATGTTCTTTTCGCTTTTTTTTTCCTTTCTTAATTCTCTTTTTTTTTTCCTTTTCAACTGTGTTCATGAATCTATTGTCTATTTGTATCTTTACACGTACATATGTGCAATTCCTATTTTGTTTTCTTTGGTGATCTTACTTTTGTCTTGGTTTGGAAACAGTAGTATCATCTGAACCTGAATCTGTGGCTGTTTTTAATTCATCTTCACTTCCTGAGGTTGATGATTCTATCTTGGAGGAAGCAACTTCAAAGTTTGAAATAATGAAGCTGGAAAAGATATATCACTCTGCTCATCAGCCTGTTATTTTTCCCAATCATCTGCAAGTCCCAGAAGCTTTTAGGAATGCATTGACTTTTGGAAGTCTGGATGATATTTTTGGAGGCAAGGGCTTTGCACCTATTGCTGAATCTGTTCATGAGAATGGTGAAGCTACAGGAGAACCTTCTTTGAGGTACACATTTTTGGGAAAAGTTTTCTCAACTTTGGTCCCTTTGTTTTTTAGTACCTGATGAGTCAATAATTCTTCTGTTAGAAGAAGCTTTCTACCATCTTTATATCTTGTTGATTGATTGGTGGTTTTTTTTTGGGTGTGAAAATTGATCTTGGTGAATTTGGTCCCTTTGTTCAATAGTTCCTGTGGATCTTCTTGTTTTTTTGATGTTTCAATATTTCAATATTTCAGTTAGCTTTTAGCATTGAATGATATGTTTCATAGTCTGAGCCATGGGATTTCCCTGTTTTGAGTTTCTTGATTTTGGCATTGACATTTTTAGCTGTCCCATACTGATTATATTCTCCATAGGCTGTTGGAGGCTCTATATATGTGGTAGTTGGTTATGTTTGTGGGTCTGTTACTTCCGGGTTCCCTGATTATCTCATACAACACTTATGTACAGCAATCAAATTGTGTCCACTGCTCAAGAGGGTGATCATCCTTATCATCCACAATCTTCTCCACATATGATTGAAAACGTATCACCTTCAGAAGACAATGTCTCATCTGGTGAGGTACTAAAGTTTGAGCAGTCAAAGCAGGAGAATATGCTGCCTCTAGGGGGACCTCAGTACCCTATTTTTCAAACTGCCCCAGACTATAGTTTTGGCCCTGTGCCTCCTATGCTGGGGCCCCGTCTTGTACAAATTGATGGACCTGAGCTACAGGTTAGTGATATTCGTTGCATTCCCCACCTTTTAGTGAGCCTTTGGTACTTTTTTTCTGTCGTTTGGATGGGGCATCTACTTTATGATATGTTGTTTCTGACAGTGGCAGTTTAGCACAAAAATGTTTTGGGTGATCACTTTGCTTTCCCATTATTTACTGTAATGCTGAATCTGATTAATCACTTCCTTAGAGAGCTTTTGTTTAACATTGTAATTTGAAGAGGTCTTTTATGTGTAACCATTGGGGGATGTGCTTTACTGTCTTTTGACCATATGAACTTCCTGGTGGCACTGGCTGCCGCTGTACCTATAAATGCTTTGCATACTAAATTATTTTTATTGCTTTATCCTACATACTACAGTAGATTAAGTGTTGCTATTTCTGATCCTTTTTCCTAATCCTTTGACATTGTTGTTCAATTGTAGAGTGGTTCACATGTTCTGTCCACATCAACTTCAAATCCACCCGCAACTCAGCCTGTGGGAGTTGGGCAGAATTCTTTAGCTGTATCTTCTCAGCTGTTTCCTTTTTACCGGCAGCCTTATCCTCCTAACTACCTTCCATATGGCCCCTATTTCCCTCAGGTTTATTTGCCACAAAATGCACACCAGTTTTTAGGCCACAGGGAATTCCCTCAGCAACCTCCGTCTGGTAATGTATATATACCACCAGCCGTACCTGCCACTGGGGTTAAATTTCCTGTTCCGCCACTGTACAAGCCAGGAACTAATGCAGAACATCCTCCCCATTTTGGAACACCATCGGGCTTTGGTTCATATGGATCCTCCCCAGTGGTTTACAGTTCCAGTGCTGCTTTGCCTCCAGGGAGTTCATCTGGTAATGGTAATGAAGATAGAGCATCTGAGCTGAAGGAAAATAATATGCACTCAGCTGTACAACAGGTCAGTTCTAGTTTGATCATCCCTGCAAGTCAATTTTAGTACTTATTGTATGTCTTATGCTCATTATGGCATTATTCCAATGTGAGAGATCGTATTGACCTGAGTTTTGTTTTTCTTGGTTATGAGATCGTATTGACCCGAGTTTTGTTTTTCTTGGTTATGATAAGAGTCATTAATGATAGAGCTGGATACTTGTCCTCCATCTCCCACCCCCACCCTCACCCTCACCCAAAAAACAAAAAAAGATCCCAAAAAATGGTACTGATCTAATTTTCAGTAGAATCACTCCTTCGAGAATGCATTTACTCTGACTCGACAGTCATGCAACAACATTTCTGCTTTTGGCATTGAATGTGGATCCTTTACTGGGCCATACAAGTGAAATTACATTGGCAGTCACCCCTGATGAAATTCACCTGGATAATTCAACTACTCCTCCCCTTCAAACATTGTCGATTCGATTTTTGTAGAAACATTGTTATTTCCTTTTCTCATAGTATGGGGCATCTTAGGGTGATGTCCCCATCATCTGTCTCATGACATCATTTGGGGTGTGCATATGTTTTTGTTCTTGCAATTTTATTATAATGGTGCTCTGAGAAAATGTTGTCAGCTATGTCAAGATTTGTCAATGGTTTTTTCAATTAATTTATCTTACCGAGAGTTTGTGATTGTATTCTACTTTATAGTTCTTGTTTGATTTACAAGTGTGGAGCACTATGATTTTGAGGTGTATAGCATGAATTTGTGTTCATGGGTGGACCTTATTGTTAATATTACCTTTGAGTTGTAATCTATTTTTGCAGACTGAAGAGTCACATGCCTGGAGTACTGCACAAAACCGAGATATATCCAGTTTGCAAGCTAATTATTTTTACAACCTCCTTCAGGGCCAGCATGTTGCTTTCTCACCACCACAGGCCGGTCTTGGTGCTTTTGCTGGAATTTATCATCCAGCTCAGACAATGGCTGCTCCATCTACTGTTCATCCATTTCTGCAACATCCTCAGGCTATGGTTGGGTCAGTCGAATCTTTGGTATCCTCATCTGGTGCTCATCAGCAATCGCAGCATGCATAGATAAGTTGGAACACTAAATTACAGAATAGAGAAACTTCTGACACCCAACAACGCGAGCTTTTTTAGAGCTTTGTGCAAGTTAGTTTTGACAAAACGCATTAAGGAGAATATGAAAACTTGTCCCAACCTGAGTGTAAATATAAAATATAGCCCTGAAATTTTCAAAGTACTCTTGGGTCTGAACTATATAAGAAAATATCCACCGAGATGCCTATAGGTGTAGAGCTTTGGTTGCTCGTGCAGCTTTTAGTTGGCCATTTTCCTCATTGAATTTGATCTTAATCGTAAACAGTTAGATGTTTTCTTCTTCTTCTTCTTCTTCTTTTGACATTTTTGAGTCATGGGACTTTGGAAGTTGATTAGTGCAGGTGGGCTATTTTTTTGTTTTTTCGGTTATTGCAATCTCGCCTGTATATCAAATTTTGTTAGCTAGAATGGAAGAGTTGCGTCCTTGTAATTGGCACAAGAAAACTGGTATTTAAATTTCATCTCTAATGAAGCACTTATTTAACAGATGTATATATAGCTTTTAATACCGTCGATTGATCGATCGATCGATCTTTATTGTGCCATGTTCTTCTTCGTTACAGAAACAGTGAATCTGATATGCGATTGAGTTTTGCTATAAGTTTCAGAAACTCAATTACATAAAGCATACGAGATTCCATGGTAGACGATGAATGCAATTGTTTGAAACGTTTCTGAAAAATATTTTTGGGCCGTGACAAACCAACCTTGGACCAAGTAGTTATGACTGCAGGCCATCCGAACCATGATCTGTCCCTTATCCGGTGGTATGGTCCACGGCATGATTCTTGAATTTGGGCCTGTTTGAAGTTAGCTTAAATCTGTAGTTTTTAAAGGTTTTGGTGTAAAATAAGTCAGATACGTTTGGATCTTGACTTTTTTATCAGATTATGCAGCAGCTATTATTCATGAGCTTTTCTTTTGATTTTTTGGAGTTTTGTCACTGGTCTCACATAATTTTTTTACTTTTTTATTAGTGACTAAAAAAATTTTGAAATTCATATTTTAGGAATTATTATGCATAATTTGTATATATATGAAATTCTTTTTTTATTTTGACACAAAAAAGCCATTGAGTTGCTCCAAACGAAATTTTTTAAACTATAGTTTTTCACCTAAAAAAATCAGCTCTAAACAGCCATTGTCTGTCTTGAGTATTTGAACTGGACACTGTAATAAGTAAAAAAGGAATCCATTGTCTCAATCAAAACTGATGAGCAATTTTCTGTACACTGCTCCCATTCCAAGTCGGTCTTATTCCTAAGTCAAAAGAATGACAAAGTAGAATGTAAATGGTTGCTTTAAGGTCTGTCTGTCTCTCTCATTTGGACAGGTTTAGACAGCATTTGAGGGATCATCAGCACCTGACCCTTCTATGTTGTCTTCAGTGCTCTTTGGTTTCAGAGAAGATAAACCTTGTTTTGGAAGCTGGACACTCGTCGTCTCATTCAAATCCCTTAGGTTAAGTGATGTATAAACTGACATTCCACAAAGAGCTGCAACAGCTCCACAGATGCTCACAAAACCAGGATCTGAGTTAAAGAGTAAGTAGCCTCCAAGTAAGATGACACAAGATTTGAATTGTCCTAAAACAGCATGCGAGGTTGCAGAAGTGGCACTGCACAATTAAAGCCAATAACTTGTTAATTAAAAAGGAAAGAACCTAGTTAGATATGTTACATATTCTTGTATTTTACACCGCTTTTATGTGTTATTTGGATTAAAGGATGTAAGTAATGAATTTGAAAATGGAATCTCTCACCCAAGTGCCAAAGCTCCAGACCATTGCAAGAGAAATCCAAATACAGCCGATATGAGAACAGCAGTTGTGTTATAGAGATCCCACTTGAAGGATAAGGCGTCTGGGGGGTCTATCCACCGCATAAGAGGTAACAAAAACAAGATTGTGATTGGGGTAGTTTTCCACATCAACCTACACTCATATATAGTCCTTCATAAATTTAGTGCTTAGGCTTTCACACCACAGAACACAAGAAGAGGTTGGCATATACTTACGCAAGAGCATTCCAATTTTTTTGCTGTTGGAGATTAGACCAGAGGATTTTATTTGTAGCGCTTGGGATAACCCATACAACTGCAATACAAGCACCGAATAAGTTGAATTCTAAATCGGCCCCAGTTGCAACTGCCACACCTACAGAGACAACAGCCAGAGCCAGAACCTGGATCATATATAGATCAGTAAAGAATCAAATGTCATAAAGCCTTTTTCAAATTCTCGTAAACATATAGAAGTAATTTGTATCCAGGTAAAGAGAAAGAACTTGTAGGGAAATCCAAACTAACCTTCTTAAATGAGATGATTTTTCTGAAGAGAATGAACTCTGCAACAACAATGGTTGGAGTGACAGAAATCTTAGCCATCTGATAGAAACCAACACTGCAAATGATCAGCAAAATAGTCAGAAAACAAGAGACGGTAGTAAAAGGTTAGGCTACGAAAAAAGTTCTAGACAGAATTACAGACGGGGACCTGTTATGCATTAGACTAGTGTTAGCGAGGCCATTGGAAAGAGCCATGATAGCACCCAAAACAAACAGTGAATGGTAAGGTGTAGATCTAGAAGGAGGAGATGCAGGAAGCAAAGAGAATGCCTTGAAAATGGCAAGTAGAACCCAAGCAGTGGAGTAGTGGATTAATGTGAGAAAGATTGGAAAGTTAAATCCAACATTCACCATCACCTGTAAGCACAAATGAAGCTGCATATTAGATTGATTGAAATTTGAGCAAGATCTACGTTTTGAAAATTTGAGTGCACTTGGAGTTTTATCTTGATTCTAATACATGAACTACATTTACAAAAGCATATACACAATCATCACAAGAAAAGGAAGTATGCACCAGTTTGTTTAACATAATTATTCCAACAGAAACCACGAAATTGAAGGTCATTGCCACAGCTTGCCAACCAAATCGTTGCTGTTGGCGTTTTGCTCCCTCAGAAGTTCGTAGCTCATTGTATAGCGAACCTTTAAGTTCTTCCAATGCTCGACCTGATAATTTTAAAGCAGGAACAGTAAAAATTCTCATGAGAAATAAAGCTTGGACAGCAAAACTATTTGGTATCTAATAATCAACTTCTGTGAAGAGAAGTCAACAGTAATCATAAATCCAATCATACAAGTGCTACTGTCAAAAGGTTGAATGAAAAAAATGAAATTTTACAAAAGAATTAATAGCACAGTGCATAGCTTTTGGAAAAAAAGTAAAATAAAAAGATTGAAATTTTGGATTCATGGATGCTATGTGCCGTATAGCCTGCTATAATTGCAGGTAATGAGGCTAACATAAAGTTATCGATCTTGATCATAATTTCAATAATACTTATCCTTTGCAACTCACATAGTATTGAAGAACAACCTTCCAGCAAAATGCTACATCCAAATTAACTCTATATTCAATTAGTCAATGTATTCTACTTCTTGGTAATCTTGAGGGACAAAAAAAGAAGAAGACCAATGACAGATACTGCATTGCTAAAATCCATCAGCAAATCAATACATTCAAGATCAAACAACAAAACAGTATCACCAAAATTGTGTTTCAAGATTCTGAATGCTAGCTGTTAAGAGCGAAAAATACAGATTACAAGCTAAACGAGAAGTAAAATGTAGTCATAATAATCACAACATCCCAGTTAGTTGAATCAGCATTGCGTTTCTCAGGATAACAATATTAACATCTTTCGCTCTTAACCATGAGTATTCAGAATCAACTAAGCACAAAGTACCGACTCCGGAATTCATGTGGGGAAATCACAAACCCATTTAACTGACCTAATATTTCATTGAATTAGCATAAAACAAATCCTAACCCACAAAGTAAATCTGATTACTGGCGAAATTATTCGAATATTTTTGAAGAAAAAACCATAACCTCATATCGCATCTGCAATAAATAAATTGGGACAAGTCATTCTACATTACTCCAGTTCTCTTGGAGTTTTTCTGTAAGAGAGAATAGGGAGTAAGACTGAAATGGCTATATGGCTTCCAAATTGTTTTTGAAACATATGTTAATTGAACTAATAGATGCCAGGTGAGGGCTTAAAGGCCCTATTCACGTAGGGTCCCTGGACACTCATTTTTCCTCTGGCCGGGCAGATTTTCCTATAAATAGGGGGCTCGGGCCTTTTGGGGGGATGAAGGGCAGCGCTTAACAGAAAGAAAAGAGTTTTCTCTGCAACACTTTCACTGTGATCCGCTTGCTTTATTTGAACATGAAAGAGAGGGAAAAAAAACAAACATATTACATGCATAGAGATATTTCCCAATCATTCAAGGAAGATGAAACATACATAACCAACATATAAAACCACAAATGCAGTACATATAATTCAAGAGATTCAAGTATAGAACTCAGGAAATCGAACAAAACCTGCTTCGCCTGCATCGCTATCTTTTCGTTTGATAAACCGTCTACCAGCTTTCCCGAACAAAGAACTGAACAAGCCCATTGCCACCCAACAATGAAAATCATCTGTCAGAAAAATAGCAATCGAAAATACCCATTTACATAATGATAATTGATGGGACTCTTCTGAAAAAGCCTATGATGAAGACACGTGTCCTCGGGGATTCCAAAACAATGTTGCTCGGGGTTCAAGCACCATCGGCAAAGCTCCCTCTCCCCGAGGTACCTCTCATATAGGATCACATATTTGGTACAGTATACAAATACATGTGTCCTCGGTCGCCATGTACCTCGGGAACACACCAACCTTGGTCCCCCCGAGGTCAGTCTTTCCTCGGCACCGAGGGTCACTCCATCCTGGACGCTTCCTCTACTCCCGGATGAAGCTACTGACAAAACTGGACATCAGCCTATGCCAGTATGGACTAGTCATCATGATCTCTTCTTACACAAGAAATGTCAGAACATGCTGGGATACAGAAGTCGTAGCCAATAAGTGACGGACGCGTGGCATATGATGTCACATCAAAAACAGGCAAACCGCACGCTATTGCTGACATGCGCTTTGGGAAGCAAACAATTAATTGCACCCTTCTGTTGACGAGACCGCATTCAATGCGGTAAGGTTCGGATATGAAAGGCAATAAATGCTCCTTTTACAGAGCATTTATTGCATCCTTCCCGAAAGGAGCATATTGTACCGTCGGCGTCCCGACGACTCAACATTGATTGCTCGGGATCCCGAGCAGTCAATTAGAGAAGACATTCCTCATCAAATCAAGACACACGCTGCCAGTGCCTGATGATCACCTACTGACCACACTGACAGCAATCATGAGTTTCTAAGGTATAAATACCCCTCTCAAAAGGCAAACGGTATGCAATCACAAACTCTCAACTACGAAATATCCTTCTCAGTGTTTTCTCCTTCCTCTCTCTCATTCAAAGACTGACTAGATCGTCGGAGGGGATACGCCGGAAAACACTCCGGCGCCCTTCTAACCTGTTCTCTTTTGTTCCAGGAAATACCTTTCGCACGTACAGGATCGTTCCTCCTTTCCCAGGATCGTAAGCTGTTTCGAGCAGTGTGCTTTGGCCACTCAACCGGCTCACCCAAAGTTCACCAGGGGAGAGATCTGTTCCCAATATTTTATATATATCGTGCAGGATCGAGCCCGCACAATCTGGCGCCGTCTGTGGGAAACGAGTAGTTTTCCTAATCTTTTCTCTAAAAGAACAGTGACCATGGTGAACACCAGACAGAAAGGGAAAGGACCCCACCAACGGAGTCATGAGTTGCAAGCTCCCTGCCATCACGGAGGGAGGGATCGCACCAGTACGATTAAAAGTGCCTCTACTCGGTCAAGGGGGGTAACCCCTCAAACCAGTATGGGGATCAGGTCAGGAGGATCAGCCCCCTTGGCCCGTCAGCTGGCAGAGGTGATTGAAGAGAAATTTGGCGATAGATTACGTCAGCTGGAGAAGGACAATGTAAACGTCCTTAGCCGGCTCGACGAGTTTGCTGCCTCAGGCGGAGGGTCGAGGGATTCATTCCTCTCCCGAGGACTCCCCGTCCATGAGGCGGAGACAAAGGATCTAAGGAACCACCTGGATCACAAAGCAGAAAGCTCCAGGGCCCCGAAGCGACCCAAAGCCGGCGAATGCCATCTTGACAACCATTCCAGGAAAGCAAGGCCATTGGCCCTGGACGACCTCCGGCGAGGTTTATCCAGACGGAGGAAGGGAGATGAATCCGAGGAGGACTCAACCCAATCTACACGACGCCCAGGAAACGAGGGGCTTACCGACGAACCCAGAGACTTCAGGAGGCATCCCGTAAGGGAAGAAGTAGATCTCAGAGCCCGATTGACTCCAGGAGAAAGGGCAAGACGATCCAGGACGAGGCCGAGGACGAAGTCATGCAAACACCCTTCACGAGGGAAATCAGTGAGATGGACGTCTCAAGAAAGTTCGTCGTGCCACGGTTCAAGACCTATGATGGGCGATCTGATCCCGATGCCCATATCAGACAGTATAAGCAGATGATGTCCCTCTATCATTCGGACCAACGGTTTCTATGCCGGGTGTTCCCTATGAGCTTGGGGGACTCCGCGATGAGGTGGTTCGAGGCGCTTCCCCCAAACAGTATTGGGTCCTGGAAAGAATTGACAAGGCAGTTCCTAACCCGATTCATCACGGGGAGTAAGCGCCCAAAGGACATTGGATCACTGCTGACCCTCAGGAGGAGGGAATCCGAGACTCTTCGCCAGTACGCCATCCGATACTGGGAAGAAGTCAATGAGGTCGAGGGATGCTCGGAGGTCATGGCAGCAGCATCATTCCGGCTCGGCTTGGCGAGGGACACGGACCTGTACCGATCCCTGACCAAAAAGACTCCCTCGGATATGGGGGAACTGATGGCCCGGATCAACAAGTACTCAAGGGTCGAGGACGAGATGGGGAGCAACAAAGGCCGAGCCCTCCAACCCAAGAGAAAGGAAAAAGAGCACGAAGATATTCCCCGGAAGGGATTGCTACCCCGTCCAGGGGGTTCGTCCAGAGGAGTTCACACCGTCTTCAAGGAACCCATCTTCAGGTTGCTCCATAAAATCAAACGCGAGCCGTTCTTCAAATGGCCGCCCAGGATGCAAAGCGACCCCTCCACCCGTGATCAAACAGTAAGGTGCTCATATCACCGGGATGTCGGGCATCGCACCGAGAGCTGCAGGGTGTTCAAGTCATTCTTGGAGAGCTTAGTCCGAGATGGATACCTGAAAGAATACATAGAGCCTAGGCCAGAAGAAAAACGAGCCCCTGCCCCGACCGAGGAACCAAACAACGTCATAGACGTCATCCATGTGTGTCCACTGGAGCGCCCCACGTCCAAAGAGCTCGAATCCGACCTCAAGAGGGTAGCTTTTACCAGAAAGGTAGCCGAAGGAGGTGTGGGGCCATCAAGCAAAAGGGCCAGGATGGGTGAGCTTGGCATTATGTTCTCTGACGCGGATTTGACGGGCGTGGTGATTCCTCATAACGACGCCCTTGTCTTAACCCTGAAGATAGGGAAATTCGATGTCAAGAGAATCTTGATTGATTCAGGGAGTTCCTCGGAGGTGATGTACTTCGAGACTTTGAAGCGGATGGGTTTTGGCCCCCAAGACTTGACCAAAATCAGGACACCCCTCATCGGGTTCAACGGCTCTTTCGCCTTGCCCGTGGGGAAAATTACATTACCGGTCGCCACTGGTCCCTTCGTCATCGACACAGAGTTTGTGGTGATCGACACGGACTCCCCTTACAACGTGATTATGGGTCGAACATGGCTACACGCTTTGGGAGCGGTACACTCCACTCTCCACCAAAAGTTGAAGTTCGCCACGCCAGAGGGCGTCATGGAGATCCGGGGAGATCAAGCGTCTGCGAAGAACTGTTTTTATTCGGCCGTCCGAGCCGGGGCGTCCGGCCAGGAGAAGGGGCGAGCACCGGAAGAGATCATAGAAAAATAGCAATTACAGTCCGGGCGTCCGGGGATGGATGACCCCCGGGTAGACCCAGCGGAACGGTCGGTTGAAGACCTCCGGAAGGTGCCCTTGGTAGAAGGAGAAGAAGAGAAGTATTTCCTAGTTGGGACCTCGATGCCCGCAGCCGAACAGGAGGAGATGATCAGGTTCTTAAGAGGGAATACAGACGTGTTCGCCTGGAACGAAATGGAAATGACAGGAGTAGACCCCGAAATAATTACTCACAGGCTGCATGTTGACCCATCTCACAAGCCAGTAAAGCAAAGGCCACGACGTATGGCCCCGCATCACACCAACGCGGTCAATGAGGAAATAGACAAACTCCTGAGAGCTGGCGCCATTCGAGAGATACAGTTCCCAGAATGGCTGTCCAATACAGTATGTGCAAAAAAGAAAGGGGGGAAATGGCGTGTCTGCGTGGATTTCACAGATCTAAACAAGGCATGTCCCAAGGACGACTACCCCCTGCCGAAGGTGGACCAGCTGGTAGATGCCACAGCCGGATATGAACGAATGGACTTCCTGGATGCTCGAGCGGGATATCATCAGATCCCTCTTTATGCCCCGGACCAAGAAAAAACGGCGTTTATCACTCCGAAGGGAGTTTATTGTTATAAAGTGATGCCATTTGGATTGAAGAACGCCGGGGCAACATACCAAAGATTGATGAATCGGATGTTCAAGAGGCAGATCGGCAACACCATGGAGGTCTACATAGACGACATGCTGGTAAAAAGCAAACGGAGTGGTGATCATCTTACAGACTTGGCGGATACCTTCTCCACTCTCAGGGAGTATGGGTTGAAGCTGAATGCAGCAAAGTGCGTCTTCGGAGTGGAGTCGGGAAAATTCCTCGGGTATCTGGTTAGTCAGCGAGGAATCGAAGCCAACCCAGATCAGATTAAAGCAATCCTGGATATCCGAAGCCCTCGCACTGTCCGAGAGGTCCAGAAACTCACAGGGATGCTGGCTGCACTTAACCGATTTGTCTCACGCTCCTCGGATAAATGCAAACCCTTCTTTGGAGCAATCAAATGTGCTGGGAAGAGTATGTGGAGCCAGGGGTGCGAGGACGCCCTGGCTGGGATCAAAGAATACCTGAGGACTCTTCCGACCCTATCCGTCCCCATCCAGGGGGAGATGCTGTTCCTATACCTGGCAGTTTCAGAATTTGCAGTAAGCGGAGTACTTATCCGTGAGCATGAGCACCGACAGAAGCCGATTTACTACATCAGCAAGGCGCTCCTGGATGCAGAGACAAGATATCTGCCCCTAGAGAAACTGGCCCTGTCCTTGGTCACCACTGCAAGGAAACTGCGCCATTACTTCCAGGCGCACCCAATCACTGTCCTAACTGATCAGCCCTTGAAGGCAATTTTGAGGAAAGCTGAACTCTCCGGAAGGATCTCCAAATGGGCTGTAGAGTTGGGGGAGCACGACATTCATTTCAAACCCCGAACTGCAATAAAGGGTCAAATACTGGCGGACTTCATAGCCGAGTTTTCGGGGGAAATCCTGTTCT